AGGATTACACTAAAGCTACAATGAAGGATTACACTAAAGCTACAATGAAGGATTACACTAAAACTACAATGAAAGATTACACTAAACCTACAATGAAGGATTACACTAAAACTACAATGAAGGATTACACTAAAGCTACAATGAAGGATTACACTTAAGCTACAATGAAGGATTACATCAAGGCTACAATGAAGGATTACACTAAAGCTACAATTTAGGATTACACTAAAGCTACAATGAAGGATTAAACTAAAGCTACAATGAAGGATTACACTAAAGCTATAATGAAGGATTACACTAAAGCTACAATGAAGTATTACACTAAAGCTACAATGAAGGATTACACTTAAGCTACAATGAAGGATTACATCAAAGCTACAATGAAGGATTACACTAAAGCTACAATTTAGGATTACACTAAAGCTACAATGAAGGATTAAACTAAAGCTACAATGAAGGATTACACTAAAGCTACAATTTAGGATTACACTAAAGCTACAATGAAGGATTAAACTAAAGCTACAATGAAGGATTACACTAAAGCTATAATGAAGGATTACACTAAAGCTACAATGAAGGACTAAAGCTACAATGAAGAATTACACTAAAGCAACAATGAAGGATTACACTAAAGCTACAATGAAGTATTACACTAAAGCTACAATGAAGGATTACAATAAAGCTACAATGAAGGATTACACTAAAGCTATAATGAAGGATTACACTAAAGCTACAATGAAGTATTACACTAAAGCTACAATGAAGGATTACACCAAAGCTACAATGAAGGATTACACCAAAGCTACAATGAAGAATTACACTAAAGCTACAATGAAGGATTACACTTAAGCTACAATGAAGGATTACATCAAGGCTACAATGAAGGATTACACTAAAGCTACAATTTAGGATTACACTAAAGCTACAATGAAGGATTACTCTAAAGCTACAATGAAGGATTACACTAAAGCTATAATGAAGGATTACACTAAAGCTACAATGAAGGATAACACTAAAGCTACAATGAATGATTACACTAAAGCTACAATGAAGGATTACACTAAAGCTACAAAGAATGTAGATTTATGCTGTGAGATCAATTTGATTGGTTAACCTTTGTTAACCATTTAAAGTTGAATGGAATACTATGCCACAGTGTCTAATTCGGAACTTAAAGTCGAAAAAAATTGGAATCGATGAGGCACTAAAAAAAGGGAAAGCCGATGAAAAAAGACAACGCCATCCCCGGCATCCTTCCACCCCCGCATACGTAAGAAACCAGGCCTTTGTTGCTTAAAAGTTAGTTTACTTTAACCAGTGAAATGGGAATATTTCAAATTGTTGCCACTGACAAGTAGGGGCTTTCAAAGCAACGTAAATCCCCAAAACACATAATGCGATCTGTTTTAACAAAGCTGTAGCAGGGAAAAGATATATGAGATATTTTTACTTTGTTCTTTTCAATTTTGAAAATTTAAAATTTTACTGAACCACTGTTTTACTATAACCAACCTTTGGGCGACCGGGTCTGAGATGGAACAACAAAGTGGATCCTGTAACCTGTTTATGTTCCGCAATGTTGGTCACTAGAGAACTGTTTATTTCTACGTCATTCCGAATGTTTGGGATACTCCTAGAACTCTTCATGTAGTCAACAAGTCAATTTCTGATAGATAAACTTAATTGGACATTAAATGTTTCAGGTTCGACGGTCATTAAAAAAGGATTGGTTCATTAGGAGGAGTTTTTGTTCAGACGATGGCCCACATTTATTCCGTCTGCAATGCTTTATTGTAATGGTTTTAAAATTAACAGTTTTCTCTGCTTTCGTCAAACATGTTTACACATAAAGTCGACCAAGGAAGAAACAATGTCGGTAATACGAGACACTTTATTGAATTTCTGTAATAAAAGTTTTCAATATTAAAACATTTATCAATAAAGTGGACAAGTCTGATCAAACGTTTAGAGAAAAATATGTGAGAAAAAAAAGTAGTTTTTAATATTGATGTATTGATCTTGGTGGAATCAGCGAGTCATTGACAGAAGAAAGAACGTCACAGCCAGTTATTTAGTCTTTGTCAGGAACAGTGTGTTATAATTCATCGGATGTCTCAAATAAATCTTTTCACAAAAACAACCTGCCGTAAACAGTAAGATAAGAAAAAAATTAAATGCAGCCATATTGTCGGGAGGTAGGAAACATTTCTTACAATAAAAATAATTAACATACGATGTCGGCAGAAGGAAAAAAATGAATATTCAAAGAAATTTTAAGTTAATAACTATTGCAGTATAATCATCATAATTTAAACCGTTTATTCTAGTCCGTCAATTCCGACCTATTGATGACGCCAAACAGCCCATACATAGATAAATCACATACATAATGGTGGACCATTCTTCTCAACACCTATGACGTTACACACGTAATTTGCACGCGACATTTATGCACGCGCTACGGTTATCATAATTGAAAAACAGTTTGATTTTTTTTTTTGTTGAAAAACGGACCAATACTTTAATAATTTATAGCCGTTTTCGTGCTAATAGGTCAAATTCTACAACAATTTACGTTTAAAAGAAATTGAATATTATCAGATAACTCGTTTGACATTGCGTAGTGGAAATCCACAGCTGCGGTTGTTACCAATACTTTTTATGCATAATTTTCTCTGTCTAATTGATAAATCTCTTATTGTCCGATTATAAAGCACAAAAATACAAAACACATTTAATACAAAAAATATTGGTAAATAAAAATAGGAAAGCTATGTTAATTTCACAGCCAAACATTGTTTGGTATTGTTCGATCACGCTATTGAAACTCCATAATGATCCCTAGATTCAGACTTTAATGTATTTAAATAGTATTCAAATATTCTATCTGTACACAGAAAAGATGTCGCACAAGCGATTTACGTGATTGACATGAAAGGAGGCTTAAGTATCGGTACAAGTGAATAAATTGATAAACTTTGCTCCTCGTTTCGTTATTAAGAAATCTGAAACCGGTAAGTTATTTATACGGATTGCATGATTACTTTGATTTACTGTTTATGTATTTTTAATGATGCAAAATTAATAAACTATTTCCCTCAAATTAAAATACGGTCAATCAATATATTGATTTAGTATTTAGTCAAATTGAAATAATATTTTTTCAGCTGTTAGCGCGTCGCCATCCGTAATTATACGTCTTAAGATTTTTGTCTGTTAACATTTTTGATATAAAATGTTATTGGTTATCGGCAAATATTTGCATTTAATAAAAAAAAAACACCACACATCACCTTTATATCATATACATGACGTAAATTGTGCTGAAATATGTGACATTAACACAGAGGAGAATGTTATATGATAATATATATAGTGGCGGCTAAACATGATATCTTAATCTGAACTTAACAATCATTATCAGTCACTCACACAGAAATAAAATTGAGAACACTAGATGTAAAAAAGTCAATTAAGGGGATAAGTGAAGCCTGCTTTGGGTTAATGAAACGTTAAATAAATAAAGAATAAAGAGGAGTATTTGGGATCGAATGAGCTCATCGAGAAACGAATAAATAGCGTAAGAATACTGAATGATTAAGTAAAACAAAAACTGTGTAAATGAATAGAATAATTAGTTTAAACTTTATTTCATTGTCAATTTATATCGCAGTAATACAATTAACGTACACAATACAAGGACTCGAAATCAAGTACAGGCTACTTATTTTGATTCGTCTCCTTAGTTTCAATTAAGCAGTGATAGGGCGACATTGACTGTTGATGAGTTAATACTTATTGCAACAGGGTTAGAAAGGGGAGGGGTGTAACAGGGTTAGAAAGGGGAGGGGTGCAACAGGGTTAGAAAAAAAGGAGGGGTGCAACAGGGTTAGAGAGGGGAGGGATGCAACAGGGTTAGAAAGGGGAGGAGTGCAACAGGGTAAGAAAGGGGAGGGTGCAACATGGTTAGAAAGGGGGAGAGGTGCAACAGGGTTAGAAAGGGGAGAGGTGCAACAGGGTTAGAAAGGGTGAGGACTGCAACAGAGTTAGAAAAAGGGGAGGGGTACAACAGGGTTAGAAAAAGGGGAAGGTGCAACAGGGTTAGAAAAAAGGGAGGGGTGCAACAGGGTTAGAGAGGGGAGGGATGCAACAGGGTTAGAAAGGGGAGGAGTGCAACAGGGTAAGAAAGGGGAGGGTGCAACATGGTTAGAAAGGGGAGGGGTGCAACAGGGTTAGAAAGGGGAGGGTGCAACAGGGTTAGAATCGGGAGGGGTGCAACAGGGTTAGAATCGGGAGTGGTGCAACAGGGTTAGAAAGAGGAGGGGTACAACAGGGTTAGAAAGGGGAGTGGTGCAACAGGGTTAGAAAGGGGAGGGTGCAACAGGGTTAAAAAGGGGAGGGGTGCAACAGGGTTAGAAAAAGGGGGAGGGGTGCAACAGGGTTTGGAAAAAGGGAAGGGGTGCAACAGGGTTAGAAAGGGGAGGGGTGCAACAGGGTTAGAAAGGGGAGGGGGCAACAGGGTTAGAAAGGGGAGGGGGGCAACAGAGTTAGAAAGGGGGAAGGGGGCAACAGGATTAGAAAGGGGGAGAGGTGCAACAGGGTTAGAAAGGGTGAGGACTGCAACAGAGTTAGAAAAAGGGGAGGGGTACAACAGGGTTAGAAAAAGGGGAAGGTGCAACAGGGCTAGAAAAAAGGGAGGGGTGCAACAAGGTTAGAGAGGGGAGGGATGCAACAGGGTTAGAAAGGGGAGGAGTGCAACAGGGTAAGAAAGGGGAGGGTGCAACATGGTTAGAAAGGGGAGGGTGCAACAAGGATAGAAAAAAGAGGAGGCTGTAAGTAGCGAATAAAATTCATTTGTGAAGGGAAGACTTGATGGAATATGATATGGTTACGCTATGGGACTGAACGAGTTGAATGTCGTAAAGCACTATAGTGACGCCTGTCATGAGGATTACCCTTGCATGGCTACTCCGATGTATCGTGGAAAACAACATATGTAGCTATGAATAATGAGTGGAGGAAACATTGCCGATCCTTGACCCTGGTAACCCTGGTAGCCCTGGTAGCCCTGGTAACCCTGGTAACCCTGGTAATCCTGGCAACCCTGGTAGCCCTGGTAACCCTGGTAGCCCTGGTAGCCCTAGTAGCCCTGTTAGCCCTGGTAACCCGGGCAGCCCTGGTAACCCTGGTAACCCTGGTAACCCTGCTGGCAACCCTGGTAACCCTTGTAGCCCTTGTAACCCTGGTAGCCGTGGTAACCCTGTTAGCCCTGTTAGCCCTGGTAGCCCTGGTAACCCTGGTAACCCTGGTAACACTGGTAACCCTGGTAACCCTGATAGCCCTGGTAACCCTGGTAGCCGTGGTAACCCTGGTAGTCCTGATAACCCAGGTAACCCTGGTAGCCCTGATAGCCCTGGTAACCCTGGTAACCCTGGTAACCCTGGCAACCCTGGTAACCCTGGCAACCCTGGTATTCCTGGTAACCCTGGTATTCTTGGTAACCCTGGTAACCCTGGTAACCCTGGTAACCCTGGTAACCCTGGTAGCCCTGGTAGCCCTGGTAGTCCTGGTAACCCTGGTAACCCTGGTAACCCTGATAGCCCTGGTAACCCTGGTAGCCCTGGTAACCCTGGTAGTCCTGGTAACCCAGGTAACCCTGGTAAAGCTGGTAACCCTGGTAACCCTGGTAACCCTGATAGCCCTGATAGCCCTGGTAACCCTGGTAGCCCTGGTAACCCTGGTAGCCCTGGTAACGCTCTATGTGTTCTTCTTGTACTTTGGTGTCCGTTCTTATTCGCATAGTAAACAGGCATTCGCGTGGCGAACGCTACACTGTTCTCTGCCTACAAATGATCTATTTTGAAATGAATCAGAGTCGGTTTGTTCAACAATACGTTTGATAGGATATACACTGTAGCCTTATATCTCGTAAGCTGGAAATATGATAATGGATGGTGTATATCCGATATCATCTTTTCTTTATTATGATGTTCCTAGGGGAGATATGATAAGTAGTGATGACTTGTTGTTATTATGTATTCTATTGTAATACTCGATCGACCCTCAACACGGGGTAACTGTATTACGTTTTCTGCTAGTATTAATAGACATTTATTATATTGGCACTGTATTTATTACAAAGACTTTGCTTCTGGTGGACATTTCTAGAAAGTCCATGGCCTGTATTCATGAAATCGTCCTCATGATAAAGCATGGATTCTCTGTGCTTAAACCAATTTTTTGTAATTTGCTAAAATCATGTTAAACGATAAAAAAATCAAATGTTAACATTGAAAACAATATTTGGTTTTAAGTTTCTTCACATTGTTTACAAATTATTGACAAAATAAGATATCTTTTATAAATTTATAAAGGGAACAAGAAATTAGGCTTGAGTACACAATCCATGCTTAAGCGTGATAACGGTGTCCTGACTACGGGCCCAGGAAAAATAACAGTACATGGTAGTGTTTTTTTTAAAATTTTATTTGAATGACATAAACATTTTTTTTTTTTTTTTTTGCTGTATGCGTTAAATAATTCCCTATATTTCGATGTTTTGTTTCATGCTACATAGGAAAAGGTATTAAGGAGGAATCTTATTACTGATAACTCTACATGCGATAGGGCAAACCGGTTTTTTAAGAAAATATAACAACCAATCGGACCATTTTTGCTAAAATGTTTTTTCGTGATTAACTTAATTACACGTTAGAAATTGAGTAAGCAGATATCAATTAATTTCATATTTCCAAATACAACTAAGCGCAATGTACTAAATTGTGAAGAAATGTTACAATATTTATTTTGTGGAATGCTGGTGTGAGGGATTTTTAAAAAGTTTAAATGGCAGCATGATTATATCCAAAATGAAACGATAGTTATTTTTGTTTTGCTCGACTCTTTATAACTGTTACAGCTATGAAGTTATATAGGGTGTTCTAAGTGTAAATATAACTAGATATATAAAGGTCACTTTATTCACTGTATGGTTACATAGTTACAGAGGTGTAATTGTTACCTTAACACACATGTAGAACTACGAAAATAGACCAAAGAAAATAGTCTGCTGAAAAGGCTGAAATAGTCAATCAGATAATTACAGATGTTGCTGTTTTGCTGTCATATATTTGTATACTGTTGTTGCTGCTGTTGCTGCTGCTGCTGCTGTTGCTGTTGTTGTTGTTCTTCATTACAAGAATACCACCGCTAACACACCAGCATCCTCCAAGAGTCACGTCCTATGGAATCTCAAAGGTTTACAAAGTGACAGCAACAGAGAGCAAGCATACAAAATAACGTGACGAACATACATGTAGAACTATGTACAAAATGACAAAGGACCAAGGAAATGGCTTTCATATTTTTCTACATTTAAATTGGAAAATCCGAAGAGATAAGCAGAATGAATTTATCACGTATTACCAGACAGTATTGCTGTTTAGATATCATGTTTTTCTATTGTGTAGTTTTCCTCTTCATTACGTGACCACCACCCCGCGGACACCCTATCATCTTCCCAGAACGTCGCCATGCCTACAAGTACACATGTTCTGTACGACTTGGGAGAGGTTCGTTATTTCTCCGCTTACCGACTGTTTTCTCAACACCTGAGTCGCCGCCTTTAATGAGTGGCTATTGTGAATATGAGTTTTGTTCTGTTATATAGAGAGTGTCAAATAGCATCATACATGTTTATCCCGCTGTCGGTGTCAACGACTTTGTAAAATATTTAATTATGTACAGAGTATAAAAGTGCAGTGTCTCTTTAGTTGTTTATCAATAATGGCAAACCATAGCAAGAATCATACCTTATAAATGATACTAAACTAGGTGATTCACTCAAACAAATAGACATCTTTGGAATGCCTGCCATCAATGACCTTTAAAAGTAAATTAGAGTATTTTTTTCTCTCCAAGTGAAACTTTTAGATACCTATCTTCATTTGGTCGTTTATCAAAAGAATAACGGAGTTCTCCATTTCTTGGACGGGCGGTCATCTTCATGTATTGTGCTTTTGACTGACAGTGTAATATTACATGATAAACGAGCGTTTGAGTGACGTTGCATATTGAATCGACCACCATGGCCTGCCAACTGACCCTTCTGTGAATATTGATAAAAATGGCAACTTCCGAGCTGATTGTACATGATTTTAATAGAATTATGTTAATTTCGTTAATATTTTCAATGAAAAATATGATAAGTCATAACGTTCTTAATTCAACAGGCGACAAAAATGATTTATAGATTTTTAAGTGATCTAGGCCCTTCTATGTCTGTAACGAGAATACATAGAAGGTTAGTCATTCTAAACGTAACAGGGTTAATCTGGTAGCTTCAATGAGACATGTACTTTATGTAGACCACAAGGAATGTGTATCAGAGCTGAAGACAATCTATTGGATGCTAATTTAACTGGAAATGTTTCCTATTGACAATATATCTTTTATGATAATAATGGTGCAGGAAGGAGAGGAGATGATGTTTGTTTAAAAGGGTTTCAGCTAACAGAAATACGACGGATGTTCACAAAATTATACGACATCATTTAATGTTACATTTTAGTAAATAGGTAGTAAATTGGTCTTCTTAAATGACGATAGCTGTTAATAGGACGTAAAACACGAACAAGCCAAACCAATATCAAACCAATCATACAATGTCACACTGCCCAATGATTCAATGTAGTACAACCCTCTTCAGGTGGATTAGTTTGGGTGGATGCTTAGAATAGGAATCAGGTTAAAACAAGATACACTTGTCAATGTTTTGTTTAATGTAAAACATAAAACAGTGGGGCTTAAATAATCAACAGCCACTTAGTCAAACGACATCTGGTCTCGATCAGTTTTGAAATGTTAGACACAGGTGTAATCCTGACAGTGTCTTAGTTATACAAAACTTCAAATTTTCTGATTTTCCCCCCATATTTTCTTGTCCTTTTTGTCTAACGGTTTACGATAAAATGTCATGTCAAGTTAGTTCTATATTAATTACAGTCAATAGCTGACACCATTTGTCGCTATTGGGTGTCATAATTGATTTTTCTTTTAAATAATTTGAATTATACTTAATAGTTGATAAAAGTAATGGAAGCGTGAAGAAAATGCGTAATGTGATATGGACAGCGACATTTAACAGACCCAAAAAATTCAAATAAACACGAATTGTCCTTACACGTCTGAATCGAGATGAATTAAAATTCAACTTTTGAATATTTTTTGAGATGTATTAATTTACATAATAATTTACCTGATGATCATAAATATTTCAGAGGTTGCATGCTCAAAATGAACAGAACAATAAGCTACAGATTGTTTAATTGTATATGGATGCAACTCGATAAAAATGAGTTTTTATGCTTTTCGCTCTCTCAAATTGTTAATAAAACGCACAGATTTTCACTTTCTTTTATATTTTGTCCGCATTTTAAATGTTTTCGCCAGACGAGCGTATGTCTTGATAACGAGTGTTTTCCTAAGACATATGGAATTTTATAAATGTTCATTATTCCTTTCTTAAGTTTTTAAAACACGTTTCGTTTGTAATGGGTTTGAAAAATGTCAACAAAACAGTGGTTTGAACTCCATATATGTACAAAGGGAAGCTTTACATAGACGCCATGCAAATGTCTAATTTCATAGACACCATGCAAATGTCTAATTTCATAGACACCATGTCTATGTCTGATTTTTATTAACCATGTAAATATCTTATTTTCATAGAGACCATGTAACTCCTTAGACAACATGTGAATGTCAGATTACATATAGACCATGTAAATGTCTAATTTCATAGACACCATGCAAATGTAAAATTACATAGACGCCATGCTTATGTCTGATTTTTATTAACCATGTAAATATCTTATTTTCATAGAGACCATGTAACTCCTTAGACAACATGTGAATGTCAGATTTTCATAGAGACCATGTAAATGTCAGTTTTCATAGAGACCATGTAAATGACTGATTACATATAGACCATGTAAAATATCATGTTCATTGAGACCATGTGAATGTCAGATTTTCAAAGAAACCATGTAAATGTCTAATTTCATTGAGACCATGTAAATGTCAGATTTTCAAAGAAACCATGTAAATGACAGATTACATATAGACCATGTAAAATATCATGTTCATTGAGACCATGTGAATGTCAGATTTTCAAAGAAACCATGTAAATGTCTAATTTCATAGAGACCATGTAAATGTCTAATTTCATTGAGACCATGTAAATGTCAGATTTTCAAAGAAACCATGTAAATGACAGATTTCGCTGCGCCCATAAAAATGTCAGATTCCAAAGAGACCATGTAAATGACAGATTGTTATAGAGACCATGTAAATGACAGATTGTTATGGTGACCATATAAACGTCAGATTTACTACTTTCATGGAATTAGAAGTAAATGCATGCTTCGTCTTTGTGAAAAGATCGGAAGGAGTCCTAGACCAAGGGTGAATACTACCTAACATTTCTGTCGTGAAGAAAGAAATCTAGGAATATCATAATAACTATATTTGGAATGAAATTTAAGTAAGAAAAAGGAAATCTAAATCATATATAACTCATCAACAAAGTAAAACATAACCGAGCACAATATTGTGTTTAGTAAAGTTTCAAGAAAGTTGAACGCAACACGGACAAGTGTATAAGTTAACCTAACATGAGTTATATTGCATCCGTTGCATCTAACAGCCGTTTAGTCCTTCTAGGAGTCCTCGGTGTTGCTAGGGGCCAACACGTTGCTAGGGGCCAACACGTTGGAAATCCACACTGGTCTAAACTACTGTGGAACCAGAGGGG